TCTCCAACAAGTGAGTTTAAGGCACATCTTTATATGATCATTATAGTTATAAAAAAAACAAGAGAATAAAGTAAACAGGTATAAAATACTATATGACAGTAAATAAAAGTTGTTATTAATAAACAAGAACACAGTTAGAGAGGAGAGTGATTTGTAAAATATCCATAAAGAAAAAATTAATCTGCTTACAGTTCTGTTTCATATGGGTGTTGAGAGATGTATCCATAGATCTCCTAATTTTGCTCTCAAAGTGCACCAGATTGATGCTTTTAACTAAATAAAAATCTTCCCGGGGGAGCATGCCCCCGGACCCCCCTAGAGGAGGTTAGGTCCCCCCCCCACTTAAATCATGTCCATATGGATAGGAAACTAAATACATTTGCACATATCTTGAGTCCATATACTTTCTGTTTTGGTGATCATGCCACACCGCGCACGTGAATGCATGCACGAGTCATGGTAAGATATCTGGAAGAGGTTGCTTTTTCTTTGCACAGCATGAAAGAAAGGCGAAATGAATGGGCTGTGATTTTAGTATTTTTAAGCAGAGGTCAATAATTTGTACGGCCCTCGGAGGATGTTGAAAAAATTGAAATGGCCCTTGAGAAGAAAAAGGTTCCCCACCCCTGCCCTACTGGATCGTAGTGATGCTTCAAGCCATCCGGGGATGTCTAATGACCGTTTACTGTAAGGGGACAAAAAATGAGGGCGCATTTGAGTGGGTGTCAGCCAGAGAGCGTCTTTCAGTCGTGAGTCATGGGCTTCCACCGCTTTTTTCTCATAAAATGAAGAGCCCTGATGTAATGCACTGTAACAACGCTGCCTCAACAACACACACGAGGGATGGGGGGGAAGGAGAGGAAACACAGAAGGTGAATAGGAGGAAGGAAGTGAGATAAATGGAGCAGGGAGAAGGAGAAAGAGGGGGCTAAAAGGTGAGGAAATGATGGAGAAATGTATAGGCATCAGCATAATTTCACACATCAGTGGGAATGAGGCCAATGCGGTACGAGCGGTACGAGTTATAAATAGCTCTCCTGTGGTTATAATAAGTAGAGGGGTGTGTTTCCATAGAGCTATGAGGGAAACTGCGGCTGTGGAAGTAGAGTGTTTACCTTCCTCTTTGTCTCTGACATGCAGCACATGTATGGCCCCGAGAACGAAGATTTAGAAGAGATATTATCCTACTCATTGGACCTTTCTGTGGCCCTTTACCGCAGAGAGAAGCGTCCACATGCATCCCATGATAATGCAGCACTTTAAGCTCCAGCTCGTGGTGGCGTTGGGCCTGCCAGGAACAGCAGGAGCGGCCCACACCTTCTCCGGAAGAGAAGAAGCTACCGCTGGGTCATGGCGCCATCGTGTGGCAGCACAGAGGGGAGAGGAGACATTTCAATGTGAGGTGCACAGATTGACATAATATGCTTGCCATTATTGGTTAAGTCCCAACATATGATCATATCAAATGGGGCCTCGAAATGTTATAATTTTAGCAAAAATATTTGATCTACAAATATTGCTACCTCTACATTTCTCCAGTATTTATTGGTTCTCTTGATAACATTGAATTATGCAAAAAAATCTATTGAATGTTGCAAAAGTAAATTTCTACACACTTGCTTTTTCTTACTGTTTTCTTTCTATAATGCTCTCAGTTTGAATTCATTTAATGAACACTGATGTGATGAGCCTTTTTCTGATCTCTTTGAAAAAACTGTTCAATAAAGTTGGTCTGGTAAAGTTAAATCTTTATATTTATAAGAATTGACATAGATATGACATGGAAATATATATATACATATATCAAATAAAATACTTTAATGGAAAAAATTGAAAAATGTTAAAATTCTGACAGATTTTATTATATTATTAGCAGGAATCTGACAGCTGTTAGTATAAAAACGATCAGAGATTCTATATATTCTTAAGAAGACTTTTAACTACTTTAAGCCATGCCACTACAGACCAAACACGACATGAAGACTAAAGTAATATTTAATAAGGCTTTCATTCATGGAGCTGTTACCCAAGTCTTTACGCCTCGTAAACTCACTACATTTACAGGGCTGCACATGGGTTCCCCAACCGAAAAATATGACTTGAAAAAGATATCCATTAAATACCCTCTTGTGTAGATGCTGCACTCGGTTGATGTGTGTGTGTTTGTTTGGGAGCCCCTGGGTTAAAGGTGCTGTCATCGGATCTGATGGAGGGAGGGAGGAGGAAGAGGAGGAAGAGGAGGAGGGGGGGTAGAGGAGTGGACAGACACTGGTAGCGGAGGGGGAGGCGTTTGGATCGGCGAAGACGGGGAGTGAACCAGCAGAGAGGGTGAGAAAGCAGCGGATCTGGCCCTTTAAATCACAAATACAGCGCTTTCGGAGGTGAGTTTGGAGATATTCGGGTATTTTTCTCCCTGTGTTTAAGAAATGTAACGCGTCTGTGTGCCTCTGCAACTCCTGCTTCTCGTCACCGAGGGCGGCTGCGGAGAGGGGCTTCATCAGTGTCACGAATCCGGTTTCCCCTAGCCCTTTGCCGGCAGAGAGGGAGGAGAAGACCGGGGACAGGGTCAGTGGAAGATTTTCGACAGCTCGGCTGGACTGTGAGGACCAAGAAGCCACTGTGTCCAAAAAACCTCTGGATTGTACATGCTCAAAAAGGCCGTGTGCTGATCAATTAGCATAATAGCGGAACATAAAGTCATGCGCTCCATTCTCGTTGGATGAGTTCACATTGGCCACCGGAGCCTGCGTCCCTCTAAACATGTCACCACCCTGCTCCCACGGATAACAACCGGGGCCTATTTGCAGACCTGAAGCTAGTCTGGTATTCACTTGGGAAAATATCTCTAGCTTTGATATGTGCACAAGGTCTGAGTGTGCTTGCGCGCACTGTGCGTATGCGTGTGTATGTGAGTGTGGATAGCCATGGGAGAGAGAGGACATGCTGTTCTCTCCATCAAAATGCCCGCATTGTGTTTTCACACGGTAGAGCAGAAAGCAGGGCCTATAGCGGAGGACATGGTTCCGTACTGCGGCCCGATCAGCGCTCCGGAGCTGCTGGGATCAATAAGGATTGATGCATATTTGCGCGTCTTCAGAGCGGCTGTATGGGCTCCTGATCGGGGCCTGTCCAGTTCTTGTGATGCTTTGTGTCCAGGCCTTGACAAATAAACGGTTTACTGTATAGCCTATATGTTTGTCATCGGCTTTACATTGAAAACCAAATACATTTGAGGGCGTATGAGAGGAGAGATTTGACAGTGGAGGGGCAGACACTTCTATTTGTGCTGGTTTGTAGGTGAGGGCTATGCTTCCTGCTTTCAGCATTCGCCATAGCAGAAAGTTTGAGAAATCAACAGGCTAAATAAAACAAGGCACTCAAAAGACTTAGGCAAAGCATCATTCTCACTTGTAGCCCCCTGTGACTCTGAGTTTTTATTTTATTTATTGTTGATGCATGTGAGCATGTCAACAAATACTTTGACGTGTCCACACTGTTGTAAGAAAAAGTGTTTGGCTTTTTTGAAGAATCAGATGAGGGTTTGACAACAAAAACTATCCTCAAATAAGCTTGTAGTTTTCATTTGTTAGTGTTTATTTCTGGTAGTTTTTTCAGGCTGTTGTCTGTGGACATTATTTTATTGCTTAAGTGTTATTGTACAGTTCAGGACCCCAGGGTTAAAATCTTGAGTTGAGTTTGGGCATGTGGTTGGGACTGTTTACTCATTTTAGGGTAGTTTCCAGTGTTGGGTGATAACCCCCTACTGACTGTTTGTTAATAAAAAGTATTCCAATATGAAACTTGCTATACAAGGGCCGATACATACAAGTGTTGCTATTAAAGCATCCTATTAAGGGAGCGTATAGTGCAATCATTTATGAGAGAAATACAGCATCATTTGGTTTTATCTAAATAAATGTTTCGTCGGGCATGTTGATGTTTCCAGAAAGTGATATCCCTTGACACTCCGCTTGCATTGATACTGAAATCCATACTTTAACTTTATCGACGGCTTTATCTCCAGGGGATTATGGGGGTCAATTCAATGCTGCCAAAAACAAGTCTGCATGTGTGTGAGAAATCACAAAAAGTTAATCTAACCTACAGAAAGAAAAGGGGGTTTAAGGGTCTACTTAGGGGTAAGATTTGGGCTCAGGGTGAAGATTAGTTTTAGGATTGAATTTATAGCGTTTGGATGTATTAGAAATGCAATTATATAAATGCAAGTGCGCACACTCATACGCACACACACACACACACACGCACACACACGCACTGTTGTTTTTTTACCAATTAAATTAAAATCTGATTATTGTTATAACTTTAATGCCGGTGTTTTGAACTCCTTCTCTTATTAATGTGACCAGGCTCATCTAACGGACGGACGCACACACACACACGCACGCACGCACGCACGCACGCACACACACACACACACACACAAAGCCCTAATTACAGACATGATTCTCTGAGCTACTCCACAGTAGTAGTAATTAAAGCAGGACTCTCCTCCCTGGAGAGGGTGACAGACAGAGAGACAGTCGTAACACTCGATGTTATGCACTGAGGGAAACTTCTACGCTGTGCTAAAGAAAGAAGCAGGAGGTTTATGAAGGTTTTTTTTTTTTTAAATAACTCTATGACATTTTAGATCGGAAATGCAGGGCTGTTCTATCTGATGGATTATAATGGTGTCACTGGTTTTGGTGACAGATGGTGTGATGTGAATGATAAGAAGATGGTGATAACAGTTTGGCATTCAAGCAAGTTCCAATCTCATTATATAAAATAAATTATGAAAACTTGAACTACAATTTTATTTGTCCCGCTGAAAAGCACATTTCTGAGTTCACATTCAAGTTTTTAGATTCAAATTCAGTATTCATTTCAACTACAAATGGTGTAAGGATGACTGTTTTAAGGCAGATTTCACAGTTTTAAGGCAGATTTCACAGTTTTAAGGCAGATTTCACTCTGGGCAGCAACTATCTTAAATCCAGATGGGATCGGTGTCATGAATCATTTTAAAAAGCCCAGTTGTACAAAACTGCAAATGGACAAGACTAACATTTTCTGTAACCTCCCTGGAAAACACTCATCTCACGCCTCTTGTGTCTTCCCTTTTTTACAGGGACAAGCCAATGTGAGCTCACCTGCAGTCCAGCTCCGGCGTTTCGACTTGGCATTGAATTGTTTTCTTGTCATTCCTGCACCGCTAACATCTCCATCCAGTCACGCTTTCACGAGAGTCCTGTCTGCCACCACCAGCCAGGTAACACTCAAATACCTCTGTCAAGCCAACGATTATTTACCATGAATACTTAACATACATCTAAACATAATGTAAAGAAAGTATTTCAAGTTATTTTTTGAAAATAGTCCAGCTCCAGCCTAAGTCATACTGTGTTTATCATCTCCATAAAGTGTTTATTGATCACTCATTAATAATGTTGTACTATCATTCAGTCACCTCACGGTGGTGCTATAGCTTCATCAACTGAGGCCATACGTCCCATAAATACAGCTATTAAAAATCAGAACAGGTGGGAGAAGTACTCAGATATTGTACTTGAGTAAAAGTAGAAGTACTCAGATATTGTACTTGAGTAAAAGTAGAAGTACTCAGATCTTGTACTTGAGTAAAAGTAGAAGTACTCAGATCTTGTACTTGAGTAAAAGTAGAAGTACTCAGATCTTGTACTTGAGTAAAAGTAGAAGTACTCAGATCTTGTACTTGAGTAAAAGTAGAAGTACTCAGATCTTGTACTTGAGTAAAAGTAGAAGTACTCAGATCTTGTATTTGAATAAAAGTAGCAGTACTCAGATTTTCCTCAAGTAAAAGTAGAAAAGTATTATATCAAAATATAGTGAAAGTAGGACAGTAAAGTCTTGTACTTGAGTAAAAGTAGAAGTAGCAGAGTGTAGGAATACTCTGTTACAGTCAAAGTCCTGCATTACAAATTTTCCTCAAGTAAAAGTAGAAAAGTATTATCATCAAAATATAGTGAAAGTAGNATTTCTTCTGTTTTATTTTTTAAATTTTTGTCTGAGATGGAAATGTCATCATATGTCCCCACCTCTTCTTCTGCAGGTGTCTAAAGCGGCAGCAGACCTGATGAGTTACTGTGAGCAGCACGCTCGTAACGACCCTCTGCTGGTCGGGGTTCCCACCTCCGACAACCCTTTCAAGGACAAGAAGCCCTGCATCATCCTATAGCCGCCTTCTGACATCACACACACACACACACACAACACACACACACACACACAACACACACACACACACACACACACACACACACACACACACACACACACATTTATATACACTTGTGCACATACAGGCACATATAAATGCACACATTCAATACTTAAAATGATCCTCAAACTCATGCAAGCACACATTTCAAGCCTACAAACACATACAGAAACACACACACACACACACACACACACACTCCAAAAATAGCCACTCTGGAAAAGCGCCATACTCCGGAGCCACAGCTAGGGGGCAGGTATCTCGTTCTCTTGGTGGCTGAGATCAGTATATCGCTGAGTATGATCCAAGGTGCTTTTGGTTATATTCACATATGCTGGTTAATTAACTACAAGTGTCAGCTTAACTTTGAAAGGGATTTGGACATTATTTATCAGTAAGAAAACCGGATTTCTTTCCTTCTTTTGTCAAAAAATGAAGGGGTTGTTTAAAGGATGGACTGCAGTGCCATAGGCGAGGAGTGGGAGGATGCATGTTGGCAATAGAAATTAACGGTTGGCGCTCCCAAACAGGGAGTTAAAACCGGCCTGAGAGCTTTGCCTACAAACCTATTGTGCTAAATCATGGCGGGTAATTTCGGAGCAAGTGGCTGAAGCCTTTGCCTTTTTCAAACTAGCATGTTCCCATCCAACAGACCTCTGCCTGTGGCCTCACTGCGGCCGTCTGCAGCCTTTGGCAACACCTCCAGCTGTGCCAACCTGTGCAGAATGTCGTCCCTATGTGCTGATCTGATGTCACCGTTTTCACTGCGGTTCAATATGGCTGCTGTTGGTTGAGATCAAAGTCTAACGTGACGTCAGATCTGCAGCAGAACATAGTTACAAAAACTCAAGCTATTAACCCTGGACGCTTACTGCAATTTTCTTAAGAAATACTTGTTTGTGTACTACATGTATGTTGCGATATTTTGTTGAAGCATTACTTAACAGATAAATATAATACTTTATTTTAATTATTGGTTTGCTTTGACATAGGTGTTGCCCCTGGCTGGTCACGTTTCTCTTCCTGTTTGAGGCTAGATGCTACTATTAATCAAACAACAAGGAGATCTAGTTGTCAGCCAGGGGTATCACCTATAAGCAGATAACAGAAGTATCTTAATCTAGCCGCCCTGTGCTTTACCCCGAGGTCGCACACTGACCACACCTTTACAGTCTGCAAGGACTGCATGGCTGGAGGGGAAAACCCAAACTGAAAAAGTAAATGCTGTCTTAAAACGTTTAGATTAACCTTTCCCTTTCCTGCCTTCTTCACTTATGTTTGTGTGTTTGAATTGGCAGTTTTTATAATGTTAATGGATGGAAAAGAAGAGACATAATGCATTGGATAGTGAACAGATAAAGGTCTTTGCTTTGTTTGCATCTACAGTAGAGGAAGAGGGTACCACAGTACATCATAACAACCTGGCTAAACCAGTCTGAGAGTTTGGGGTCAGAGGCTGGGTCGGTACACGGTTTCCTCTGTCCTCCTCTCCTCCACAATGCTCCTTTCTCTGACAAACCAAACGTGATTGTAAAAGCTGAAGTTGAAGTGAAAGAAAAAATGAAGTAAAGAGAAACAAACTAACTGTATAAACTTTATTTCAGACATGTGCAGAAGTGATACATTGAAGAGTAGCTGTTTTGGGTTTATTTGTGAGTTTCTTCTTTCTATGGAGTCCATGGAGCCTGGTGAGTTGAGTAGTTCCCTGTACAGTGTTTGTAAGATACACAATCGAGACACAGAACCTCCCTCTCTGGATGTTGGACTTTTTTTTTTAGTTCTACTTTTTCTGTTCGGTCAGTCACATATCTGTCTTCATTTCTTCTTCTTTTTCTCATTCAGGATTTAGAGGCTTGGGATAGTTGAGGATTGTTTAAACCATAGATACAAAAACAAAACATCTGATAGAAACAAAACAACTGTTAGGTTTATTATCGGGTCCTGTTAGAGGATGAACCAACATCTGACCTCTTTACAGTGGCAAAAACCAACCTCCTTTAACACCGGAGCAGCAACGTTGTTCTCAAGTGTTGGTTATGGTCGGCATTTAGGACAACACACACTCATCCGCATAACACACTCTCTTGCTGTTGTTGTTTTAGGTTCGATTGCCCGAAGTCAAAGCTTAAAGGAGCACTAAATGACACGTGTTGCTTTTGATGCTTGATCCCTGAAAAGATGTGTGCAATCATATTTACATTGGAGCATTTAGCCGAGGCTTTTGTCAGCTGTAACGTACAAGGCTTACGACTGCTGATGAATCTCAGGGGAGTTGAATCGACTGCTTTTTTCTGTTAGGCTATTCGATCATGAGCCTCCTGCTGAGTTTTTATTCGAAGCGGTGCGAACTGTTGAGCAGTGTGCACAGAGACAAAGTAGGCAGGGGGCACCTTTTAGACAGAATTAAATGATTATGAGGTACCCTTGACAAATCTTTGAATGTGTCTTGAAAGGAATAGCATGTATGTGCATTTGAGTGTGTGTTTTTGAGAGACACACAGTGTGTAAGAAGGCACAGTATCTCCACGTAATGATGTTTCTGTCGCTCAGCCCTCCAATGGCAGGTCAGTCCGACCTGAGCAGAGGACACGTTGTGCAACATGTACGGCCTCCTCTCACTCAGATGCTACTGTGCTCATCGCTAAGAATAGTAAAGAAGGGCCTTGTAAGAATATACAATAATGGGAAGCTATTTTTAATGTGATGACCAATAATGACCAAAAACAACCCAGAAAATCCAAAAATGTGTTGAAGCTTGTTTTCCCCGCTCATCAAAGCTACTCCAATGTTTCTCTGTTTAGAATCAAGTTAAGCTGGCAGCAAGTTAGCTTAGCTTAAGTGTAAGAGCAAATCCAGGGCATTGAAGCCAATTTGACAAAGTGTTGAAATACAACTTCAGGATTTTGTGTGTGACGCCATTGGATATCCAGAGTTATAACCCTTTCTTTTTTCATTTGAGCAGGGTTAAAAGAAACACTGGTACGCTTGCTTTATGGGCCTTTAATGTGGACTTACTGTCTGTCTGGGGATCTTTCTGTCTGATTTCACCGCTGACGTTACATTGGCGGAAATTCTGTCATTGGATTGATATGACCACAAGGACGACCAAATTGACCAATCAGAATCGAGTATTCAATTAAAGCCGAGTTAAGCTAAGATAACCAGCTTCTGGCTGTCATTCAATTTGAGCAAACAGATAATGAAGTGGTATACATCTTCTCTAAACCTCCCTGCAATAAATCCATTAATGGTATTTCCCAAGAGGTTAAACCATACCTTTATAATTAATTGTAGAGTTGTTCGAAATATAATAACTATACAAACAGAAACTTGACAGCAGTGACAGACCGGATGTAACGCAGAATAACTCATCTGTGTTCTTCCCCAGAAATATATACTTCAAAATTGAGAAAGGAACGTATTTCTTGTCGAGGAAATCAGAGGCAGTTCAGTCATTTCTTTGCAAAATGCATTTCAAATTACAACTGCACGAGAATCACACAACATGAAACAAGCATGCACACATATCAGCTCACACACATACACACACTGATGTTGTTCTGGATATGTCTGACAGATTCTATTTTTTACCATTATTGTCATTTCAATCATTCCATGGCTGGTTGAGCTTAAAATCAGAGAGACAGACGTCCTACATTGCTGGTTTGGCTGACGGCTTCTCTGATTGGTTGGTTGTTAGTTTGCCTTATAGTGGCGTATATTGTGTTAATGCTGGTCTTGGGGTTGTCAGGTCGACAGAATGAACAGTGTTAAAGTAGAACATGAAGCTTGAGATGGAAATCCCCTGGTGTTGTGACTCAAAGCAGGCGAGAGTTGAGGCTCCTCACCGGCTGATTACGAAATCAAACATGGCTGAATCCGCCCTGAGCCGTTCCCGAGACTCGTCTTTTGTGTTCTGATCTCCTGTGTATGCATACAGTATATGTATCTTTTTGCCTTGATTGATTATGAAGAAAATATATCTATTTTTTGTAACTGTTCTCTGATGTGCCATAACTCATGTTTTCTTGCACACTGTTAATATTTTGTGGATATTGCTGTTAAAAAAGATGATATTGAAAAGTAGATAACATTAATAAAAAGATGATATAATAACAAATGCTCTTGTGGAATTTTTGTTTTTAGCTTTGCTGACGGCACGCTTGCATGGAGGGCAATGTCAGTCAAAGACTACTACTTCAACCCAATGCAACCTGATGCTTTTTTTATTTGGATTTATTTGTGTTTTATTTTGTGTCAATGTCAACATTTTGATCAATGATTTGTATGACATCTACATAAGGAATTTGAATTGATAAGAAATGTGTCTGACAAAAAAAAACACTACAGGCTTAAGTAATAATTGTTTTTATCAAACCATGAGCCATATAAACATGCATTAAGCTAGGCAGACCTTTTGCTCTTGCTTTCCTCCTAAAGTGCTCCAACACATTGTACGTGATTGGCTAAGGGGCGGGACATCTCTAAGCGGTTGACCAATCACAACAGAGCCGGCCAGCTAACCAATCAGAGCAGACTGGGCTCTGGTTTGGAGCTTTTTCAACATTAGGCGCGTTCACACCGCAGTACTTTTCCCACTTTAGTTCCGATATAGTTCCGAATTTGTCGTTCACACCAAAAAGAGCGGGAACTCAAATTAGTTCATCAGAACCTATTTAACCCCTTTTCCGTCCCTGCTAGAGAACAGGTAACCTGTTCTCTAGCAGGGACGGAAAAGGGGTTAAATAGGTTCTGATGAACTAATTTGAGTTCCCGCTCTTTTTGGTGTGAACGACAAATTCGGAACTATNAAATGGCGGCTTCACAAAACTTTTTGGGAGTTTTAAGGGGCGTGTTTTGCAATTCGCCCAGCCAATCAGACATAGGAACCTTTCTCTCCCAAGAAAGTCCCTGCTCTTTAGCACGGACGGAAAAGGGGTTAAAAAGGTTTTCATGAACTAATTTTAGTTCCGGCTCTTTTTGGTGTGAACGCGACAAATTCGGAACTATATCGGAACTAAAGTGGGAAAAGTACTGCGGTGTGAACACGCCTATAGTGGTCATGATAATTCACTGAGCAGATA